TAAGGGTAACAAACATAAAATGCCGGGGAGGCCGGGGGGGGGGACATGTAAGCCAAAAGTGATGATTCCCCACTAAACACGCTAACAACCCTATTAATATACTGGGGTTGGGTCAAACCATGTTCTATACGAAGTTGGAAGGCACCAAGCAAGGCATGTGAATATATGTGTGCGCGTGTGACAACCGAAGCCAGTACCAGGAATACGGTGTAATTGTGAGAGCAATTAAAAATGTAACAAGCAACTGCCTGGCTACACAGAATTTTGCTGACTGGCAGTCTGCCCCCATTCTTGCCCGCAGCACGCTTGCAGCAACCTTGGCCTAAAGCGTCAACACTGGAAGCGCCGAACTTGCTTGAATTTTCAGTCGGTCTTCCTATGTCTCATGGATATCTGGGGGTTGATCAAAAGGTCCTTTACATGGATGACCATTGGGGAAAGCCACTGAAAAGAATATATGTCCACACTAAATGGGAAAACTTACGCATCATGGTCATTTGGGGGCCAGGAATATTGATCAACCCCATCTCACAAATCCACCGAGGGCCCAGCGCAAGGAAAGACTGCCCTGCAACACGTGTCTCAGAGGATGGTACTCGGTCGGTTCTCGGTTCTCGCAAGGCATCTTTCACGTGGCTTGACCAAGCGGCGAGGGGAGAAGGGAGCCGGGGGTGCGCCAAGGGAAAGGTCAACCCAAGTGTGTCGAAGCATCAAGGTCAACCCAGTTTAGCCAACCCTCATTGCTTTGACCCTCCACTTCAGCTGCAGTCAAAATGAATGAGTTTCCCCAACAGCACAGGAGACACTTCGACATTTGGCGAGTCCCCTAAGAAAGCGAGCCCCCAATTTAGTGCCTCCCCTTGAGCCCAGCCACGTCCCTCCCCCCCCCCCCACTCCACCCGTCGCCATCTCCGCCTTCAAAGGCCAGCAGCGACGCGGCCAGCTGCAGCTTGGCCGAGGCCTGCGGTGCCGTTTTTTTCGCCGAAGGCTTGGTGGACGGAAGGGGAGCAAAAACTGGGCCAGGGGTTAAAACCGAAAGCCCGTGCCCCCAGTGAACATCAACCAATCCCCGACTAAAATGGGCGGCGAATTCACCTAGCCCAAAATGGTACCTGGTGTTAAACCGTTTCAACTTTAGCAGTTAAGCGGTTGGATTTCAACCACTAAACAAGACAAGCAAAAATGTAGAATGGTTCCCAACAACAACCATGAAAATATGGGTGGATTCCAACCATTATTTTCAACCATTGTTCCTTTCAGAAACCAGTTTTTTCCGTGTTTCCGGAGGTTTTCTAGAAAGACGGATCCCTGGAAAGAATGGAAATGGAAGGTACTGGTTCTTGAGTTCCAGGCGAGCGGGAGCTGCAGCAAAAGCACCCGCAAGGGCACCAACCAAAAGCACCAGGTTTCATATTCCGCAGAAAGGGGTGTTAAATTCCAATCCCCTGAAAGAAACCGTCTTCGGTTGGCTTCCCTGTCACCAACCAAACTGAAAACGAGTCCAGACTTGTTGGATGGGCGTAAGGGAAAGCAAAAGGACCCCCCCCCATTTGGGTGTCTTTGTTTGAGGGCACCCCCGCGCCCCATTTTCGTCACAGGAAAACCGTTGCGGCAATTTTTGGTGGGGACTTAAAAAAGACGAGCTACCCATTTGGATCGCCTGATGGAAATGAACCGCTTCGGAAGCCCCTTAAAGGACACCACGAGGGATAGTTCAGAAGGAAGCATTCCCGCTGAGAACCAGCAGGCCTGTGTCAATTGGGGGGGGGGGGGGGGGGGTAGGGGAAACTGATTTTTGTTCAACCACAACCATGGTCTTGAAAAATGGGAAAACATATGTTCTGTTCTTTTCCCCAAAAGACACACCACTTCCAGGGTGAAAGTAGATGGGATGGCTATAACGAAATTGGTTGGAATTGTGCCATCTACTTTCACTCCACTCCTGGTTTCTGAGATGTTCTTCCCTGAGCAAAAGTTCGATCACCTGCAGGTCTACTGGAAACCTAAGGTTCAAAACGATTCGATTCGGCGCCAAAGGCCAGCCATCAGACCGCATTGCGCCTCTGCGCCGGCGTTGCCCTTGAACAGCGGCACGGCCTGCGAATGCCGGAGGAGATAAGTGCATGTTGATTTTGCTGGTGTTGGGAGTTGCTGCCACTACGTAGAAAACAATGCACATTCAACATTCATGCCCATTCTCTTTGTGACCAAGAAGGACGTAACAAATCACTCGAAGCAAATGGAGGAATTGGCACAAGGCAACGGGAAGCTCTCCAGAATAACCACTGCACCATGTTGGGTCGGGTGACTCGCAACATGCAAGTAAAACTGACCAAAACCGGGCTCAATCACGGCATGTTCAACTTGCTCCCTGCTTGCCACACACTGCCAGAACATATTGAGAAGTATTCAACTCTGCATGGTGCGTGGTTGACTTGCGTGGAAACAACCGCACCACCAAGCAGGATCCTCTAGTTCTGGTGGTTTGGACTGGTGGGTTGGTGGTTTGAAGTGGCTCAAACCCCCCAAAAAAAACAATCCAAGTGCTTCAAACCCCCAACAAGAAACAAACCAAACCAACAACCAAGGCTTACCTGAGAGGGTCTTCGGCCGCAAACAACGAACTGCTCCTTCCGGGCCTTCTGAAGCAACTCGCAGGCCTCCTGCGGCTCGGCAGCACAGGCCTCGGATCGCGTGTTCATCTGCTGGGGTTCCCCGTGTTTCGAAAAGGGGCGAAACGGGGGTCGCCGGATGTATCCGAGAAAAACAAAAAAACAAGGTGCCATTTTGCGGGTGGTGCCCATGGAAACCGCCACTTTCGGAGGCCCCAAAAAGGGAACTGGGCTCGCAACTGGTGCTTTCGTGCGTTAGGTGAGGCCTGAACTCCGGGATGGTGACATTCAGAAACAACAGAAGGGACCAACCGGGTCGGTCCAACTGAAGTGGCACTTGCCAGCTGCAGAAACGGTCATGTTCAATCAAAGGTTGAAAGGTTAGAGAGTGACCAAGAAACATAGGAGGCTCTTTTTGTTGGGTGCGGCTTCACGGATTCATGCAAGTCAGAACGGGACTTCGCAGTAGTAAATGCAATTTCGCCCAATGGAGCCAGCCGAGCGGCAAACAGTCATTCACCCTAGCCATTCAGCCATCCAATCATCCAACTCGCCAAAGTACCCCTGACAATTCAGTGCGACCGTTCGAAGAAACAACATTCTAAGGACGTCAATCCGTAAAATCCTGGCTTCCGAAGTTTAAAGCACGGCCACAAGAAACAGGGAAAAGCCGGGTGTGATCCACTCTCACTAGTCCAAAGGACTTGGAAATTAAAGGTTGCCATTGGCAACCTTGGCCAACACCAAAAAGCACCAAGAAGGAAACCCAACAAGGAAAACTAAACATGGAAAACCGAAAGAAACACAAAGCACGAGAACTGCTACACCACCCGCTTCAGATCTCGATCCGGATCTGGGCACACTTGGCCCCGGGCCGCGGTGCGAAGGGCCATACCCTGAGCTGCGCCGCCTCGAACTCTCCATGCCGAAGTGGCAGATGTTGCGGGGAAAACTGTCCAGCCAAATTTCTCATCGGTCCAACCTGTGGGAATGTGATTGGGTCCTTGGATTTGCGATCTCTCATCCTGAAACTCTCTACTGTCACTTGCTCACCGAAATGTGTATATTACCAGTTACAAATGGTGCAATATAGAGGGGGCTGCCCAAAAATGGCGGCTTCCCTTTGGTGTTTCCCTTCAAACCACCCCCACAGACAGTTCCGGCACTTGAGGTGGGCAAGGGAAACAAACCATTTGGGGACAACCCTATTTTGAGGGTAAACCCAGAAATCGAAGAAACTGGCAGATTGGGGGGTGTTCTGCCAAGAGTGGAAGGATCGGCCCTCTAAAACGAGGCACTCTCTATGCGACAAGGGGCTTTATCAATCTTGGGCGGGATTGTCGGCTAGTGATGAGAAACATAAAACGGCACCAAGATCATCAAAACACATGGGTGTCCCATCAAGAATGACTGTACGACTGGGAATATGCCAATACTTGAAAGTCGATCCCATTATCCCCGGTCATGCACTCACATGCTGGTGCTCAAGCGAATAAAAGCACCTCTGAGCAGCACACAAGCATACAACATGCTATGTGCGTGGCACCTCCATCATCCTGTACTGCAAACACTAAGGTTACTCAACATTACGCATTGAAAGTCCTAACCACATATGAATCCTTGCCACCAGGAGCAAAAAGAGTCGACTTCTACAACAGGAAGACAAACAATGACCAGCTCCCATCTATTTAGGGGTGCTCTAAAATTCATCTTTGAAACCGTTTGAATATGCTTCAAGTTGGACCCCCCAAAGGAAACCAATTGATAAGGTGTCCCCAGTTAAGGACACACAAAAGCGAGGTAATTAATCAGGCATGCGTTGCCCTCGCAGCTTTCTTTGTCTGCGACTCTTCAACTGGTTGGCCGCTGTTTAAAAGGGATTCAGTTGGCAAAGGCACGCAGTTCAAGGCGTCTCCCCGTAAAAATTGAGAATGGTTGATTCCAAATGGTATCCCTGCAAATCCCATCCAACAGGAATCAACCTGAGCCCATGACTTAGAGAGCAGCTCAAAAGCCAACGGAGTACCCCACACATATGACGCTTGATTTCGTCCCTAAGTGAACCTAAAAATGCAGCTTTCCAAGCTGAAGTGGGCATATTCCATGGTGGGCGGGCAGGTGGTTGGTTGGTTGGTTGCGTGCTTGCTTGCTTGCTTGCTTGCTTGCTTGCTTGGATGGTTGGTTGGTTGGTTGGTTGGTTGGAACCGACCAAAAGCAACTCACAGAAACGAAGAGTTTGCCTGGTGGAAATGATCAGATCCCTCGGATTGCGAGTGAGCTCGGCCAGGCAAATGACAGGTGGCCAACCGAATTTGTGGAAGAGGTACCAGAGGATTCCCTTGATTTTCGCGGAGCCACCGTTCAAGGGAGCCATGTGGCGAGGCGTGGTTGTCCTTTTGATTTCCCTTGAACACCACAAAAGACGGGGTGCCCTCAAAAAAGACACCCCTATATGAACCAAAAGCCAGACCAGTACGCTACACGAGCCAAAGGACGCTTTTTGGGTTGCTGCTTCAAGGGAGGGCCATGGGAAACTGTGCCCGTCTACAGGGGCTACCCCGACCAACCTTCAAGTACGGAGGTTCCAAGTGTAGCCCATCCAAAATTGCATCAAGGGATACTGACCCAAGCAAAAGTGCTAGGAAAAAACCATTGTTGCTGATATGACACAGGAGAGCCCGGAGGCCTTGAGCTTGGCTCACTTCTTTCGACCCGTCCGTTGGCTTTTTCCGGGCTGGCGGGCTCAACATCTCCGCGGCTTCCTTGGCCAGGGCCAAAGCCTGGCGCCGGAAGGGCGGGTCGAGGAAGAAAAAGTGCATGTTGTAAGAATAGATGGGTTAAAAACCAGATGGGTTTCCGTGGTAAATGGATGGCATGTGAGAAATGGATGGCATATGGGAAATGGATGGCATATGGGAAATAGATGGCATATGGGAAATGGATGGCATCAAACCCATCTAAACCCGTGGACACCCATCTATTTTTAGCTACACCTATGGACCTCCCAATTCCGCGGCCTCCTCCTGCCGGCCCAGCTTCAGCGCCGCCGCCGCCTCCGCGTGGCCGGCGCGGCCTTGGCCAGGCCTCGGCTCTCTCGGCGCGAGAGGTTCTGGCCAAGCCGAAGCCAAAGGGCTACCCTCCCACCAACTAACCTGGAAGTGCACAAAGGCACTTTCCAAGAGGAAGGTAGTCTTGCAGGGGTCTGTGCACTTCCATGTTTTTGCTGGTGGGAGGGTAAGTGGGATCCTAAACATACCCTGCCATCAGGTTGCTCTCCTCACTCACTCACTGATTGCATTGCCTCGTCAAGCTCCATGACGGGACGCTCGATGAGATCATGACCGAGATTCGGACACGCTCCCTTGTCAACCGGCGGTCTATCGCACACCACATCAGGTCCGCAGACTCTGATACTGAACCAAGTGCCCTGTGTTGGATGTCAAAAAATAGATGGCCTTGGCAGATGGTTGAACCAGGCGTCCTTCATGGTCGAAAATAGATGGCGCTCGATGATTGAACCAGGTGTGTACCTGGGCCATGGATCTTCCAAGTCAAAAAAGCACCCCTCTCCTGAAAAGGAGCCCTCTTCCCAAGCCGAGTGCTTTTCCGAATTCAAAAAACGCAGGTCGAAAAGGAGCCCCAGAAAGGAAGCCCCACGGATTCGAAGAGGGCAGCTACGGAGGCATCGAAAAAGCACACCCTGCGGATGCCCCCGCAAAAGTAACAAGGATGGACGTCCGGCTGCTCCTCAGCACTTTGGGCTGGGACCTGGAAAAGTGTCCAACAGAGCTCACTCGGATACCCTCCCTCCGACAATCATAGAAGCTGACAGGACGGCTTTGGAAGATTACTTTCCTTTTGGGAAACCCCTCTGTCCACTTCCGTGATTGTTCGAAAGAGGGTAAGACGCCAGACATGAGGTCAAATTGTGTAGAAACATTTGAAGGAGTGGCGAGTCTTTTCTTGCTGCTACCCTTGTTTGCGCTGTCTTGCAGCGAGGCCAACGGAACACCAAAGCCCAGTTTGGGGCAAGCCAGATCCAATTCCGAGACAAACTCCTTTGAAACCTTCGCGACGCGTGAGCTTGCAAACCAACGCCATGTCAACGTGTGAGGTCGCAATGCCATTTGCCTGGACCAAACAAGGCGGTTGTCGTTTCGCTTCCAATCCCTCAAGTACCAACTTAAAGGAAGACCTTCCCCCCCCCCCCCCGTGTTTGGTGGACAGGTCTATGTTGCAACCACCTTTTAGGGTGCTTGATATTTGGGGTTAAAGCCTGCAAGAACAACTCTAAGTGCCCAACATTTAATGTCAGCATCATAGGTGACTTTTTGGAACAATAGATGGTTCTCCCTGGTAAATGGACGGCATAAAACTAATCTAAACTAAAACTTGCTTTTTTTTCTCAGGGAATGCGAAGTGGAATGACCCCAAGAAACACCCTCCCCTCTGGATGGACGAAATCCTGCAGCACCTAACAAACCCTGGGGTGATGCTTCCCCTGCAAATACCAACAAACAAATGGCTCCCCATGGCTTCAAAGTGGTGCGAAATGGATTTCGCAACCACCCACAGTATGGCGTCCTTTCAGGGAATTCCCAAACGGCTCATTCCCACCCGGACTCCTTTGCTACGCTCCCGGGCAGGTCCGACAGCTTCTTCGCCAGCTGCCGCGCCTCGCGCACCGGCAGCAAGGAGAGACATCTGGGGCAATCCAAGACGCCTAGAGGTCTTTTACATATGTACATACAAACAATATATGTATGTATATGGTATGCATATATATATATATATATCTGTGGTATGTGTATATATATATATACATATATATACATATATATATGGCATATGTGTACATATATATATATATATTATATATATACACATATGTATGTATCATCTACTTGCTTTTGGATACTAGTACATGCATATGAGTATGTATAAATACATATATATATATATATTGTTTGTTAGAACATGATTTAGATATGTGTTGTTTGTGTTTTTTTTAAAGCTACCCTTCCCCCTTTATTGCAACCCCTGCTTTTGTGTACGCACGTGGGACCTATTAGCATCCTCGGATGATGCTCAAGCAGTTCGGACCTCAAGCCGGCTGAAAGCTAGATGCTGAGAATTGCAAGTCTAACTTCGCGAAATTCGGGCCTGTACATAAGTTAATCCTGCGAGCTATATCTTGGAATAAAGACACCCACCAAATCAAGGGTTTCAGGTCTGGTCCGAATCCAAGATCCAAGATTAGTGGCAATCCTTGAAGGTCCATCCAAGTCTGAATCTCGGGATTCAAGCATCTTGGATCAGAAATCTAAAATCCGGCATGTTAGATAATGCCTCCTGTCTGTAGCTTCTGCCTGGCATGTTCGAAAGAACATATTTAAGGGGAACCGTGTTTTCCAGGTTATAGAGGCTCAGGTTTCCCGTGGAAATGAAAAGAAGGTCAAACCGATGGCTCGGGCGCGCTCCTTCCTTTTGAAAAAAGTGGTGTTCAACCCCCTTCCGTACGTGATTCCGTTGGCACAACCTTGGATCAAAGCCTTCTCTTGATTAGACCTGGTACGCCACTCCTTCCCTGTGCACCATGACAAATACCCCATTCGGCATGGCATTTAAAACATTTGTGTGTCTTGTTGTTCGAGGGTACCCTTTTCGTTGCTTTAAAGGAACCAAAGGAACACCGAAGCCATTTTGGGCGGGGGCTGCCCCTCAAAAAAGACGTGAACCCATTTCACCCGCCCATTTTGGGCGCAGCCCAGGCCCTGGATTCCGGGATCACGGGATCCGTCCGACACGCGAGCCCCCAGCCTGCGCCGCCTTGGCGCGCGCCAGCTCCGGCTCGCCGAGCAAAGAGCTCAAAGTCAGCAGCTGGTCCACCTCACCGACTGGGCGCTGCTTCCCAGCTGATGGCTTGGACTCACTCACTTGGCATTCAGCTTCGCTGGCTTGGATTTCTGGCGTTTGGTTCAGTGTTTCCGGTTCCGGCAGCGAGTCCAAAGGGTTGACGCTTTGAATTGGTGGCCTTTGGGTGGCTCAGCTTCCGGCAGAAAGATTGCCAATTGGTGGTTTGGGGTGGCTAGGTGGCGCAGTTTCAGTTTCCTAGGTACCCTCTCAAGAAGTGGTTCAGGGTAGTTTCCCATTCACACTCTGCAAGAATCAATCAAAACCGCAAACCACAAACCACCAATTAACACCTGAACAATGGCTGAGCATTTTCCAAGCCACCGTTTGGCTTGGCCCAAACAACAGTAGGGTCGACAGAAACTTTGCCTATGGTGATTGATACCTGTACCCTCAGAAATACTAAGGCAAGGAAAAGAAGACTACGTGCTGGTATCCTCGCATGCAGCAATTGCTCTCGCTCCCAAGATAGCAACTGGCTCGTTTGCTCGTTTCTGGCTCACAAATGCCATCCATGTCCAAGGTCGGGGGACGCCCAAAATCATGGTTTCCCCCCTGAAGTGTCCTTTAGATCAAACCCCCCGGGAGGGTCCTTAATTAAAAAAAAAAAAAAACTGTCTCGAACTCACTTGAAAGGGGCACTCTCAAAGCGGCCCAAGCCCAACTTTCCGCCATGGCCAGGGCTGGTTGCGAAACGGGCAGCACCCAAAACTGCCAACACTGATGGGTTCCCGCCAAAAAAAGAAGAAGAAAAAACAACTACTTTGGTGCCACAACCGTGGGCCCTAAAACTAGTTTGCTCATCCGCTCCGTCCCCCCCGCCCAAAAAAAAAAGAAGAAAAAAACAGAACACACGAGTTCATCGCGCCTGGCTGGCCTCATCGCCCAAGGACTCGCTAATTTTCAGCGCCTTGCCGCCGGAGACACTGGTGCAGCGAGGCTCGGGGAGTGGGGGACTTGTCTTCAGTTTCCGGGGGAGTGGATGTTGAACGCTACTTTAAGCAAAAGTTGTCACGGATTTTAATCAAGAGCAAACAGCGCCGAAAGTTTCCACCAGTAATTGTCATCCCAAAGTTTTTAGTGGCCGTAAAAGAATATTCGGGTCGGTCTTTGTTTGATGGTACTTTTTTGGGGGGCTGCTTTAAACGCAAAGAAATGCGTAACCGAATTATCCTCCGCCCTCAAATTGACAGTGTTCAGTACGCAGTTGAACCCTCCCTTTTCAAACAGAAAGCCGTGTGCTAATCGAAAGTGCACCAAACCATGCTTGGTGGCTGGATTCCTCCTCTGGGCTCGATCAGGACTTCGTATGTTGGCCTCTTCCCCAGAATCAGTTTCCAGTAGTCCTTTAACGGGAAACCAAAGGGAAACCACCAAAAAATCCTTGGGGGGGGGCTCCCTACAACAGGTGGCACGAAGAACTCTCTTCCGGCGACCTCCTCCGCCTTCGCCCAGTCGTGTTGCGCCAGCGCCACCTCGTGGCACAGGAAAAAAGAAGAAGAACAAAACGCGCCGCGAAGGGTGGAGGGGTGGGCAAACTTAGGAAGCTGAACTTCTGAACAGATGGATGTGGTGTTTGTTGTAAACATATATATATATATATATATATATTAGTGTATGTAAGCTAACCAAACGGCACCACACAAGCATGCGATAACTCTTTTATCCAAGCAATGTGTTGGTGCCAGGGACTCATCTTCCCCTGTCAGATGTCAACGGCTGGGTGGGCCCCATGGGCCACCCACCACAAACTCTCAAAAACTGAAGAACGGGTGTGCAGATAGCGCCCGCCCCTGAGCCGGGGCCCGGGGCACCCAGGCCACAGGGGGGTCTGCCACCAGGGGAAGTGAGTCACCCACCGGCTCCGGTCACGGGAGCATGGGTGGGCCCACGCTAAGATCAAATGCATCTCCATTCAGGAGACGCGGGAGAAAAACGAACTCCTCGCAGAGTTCCTGTTTGGGGACCCTGTGCAAAGGGTCGAACCCAGAGAAATCTGGGTGCGTCAGCTCATCAGCCCACTGGTTGAATTCCCGGGGCACGTGGTTGGCCGCCAGCGAGCAGCCATGGGTGTGGAGCAGGAAGACCAGCTCCATCAGGATCGCCGCGGTGTAGGGCTTCTTGGATCCAAGGTTGAGCATCGCCATGACGTTGCCCTGATTGTCACTGCCCACCGGGAGTCGGACCCGGGAGGACAGAGGGCCTTGGTGCGTGAGGATCATGTTACAGAGGAAGAGCGTGCCCAGCATTTCCAAAGCCGCAATCCTCCGCTTGGGATCCCCATTCTTGAATGCCCACGGGTACTCCTCCACGTGGATCTGCTCGTGGAACCAGTACACCTCCTTCTTTTCTGGCTCCATTTTATTGGAGCACCATCCTCCCACAAATGCCAGTCCTTCGTCCGAGGCGCTAGCATCGCTGCAACCCCACCAAGAGGACTTCGGCAAGTAAGGGGAGTACTGGACGAAGGGCGTGTTGAAGAGGAACCGCAGCATGAACGCCAGCATCCTGACCACCTTGGGGGGTTTCCCCACCGTGGTGGTGGCCATCTTCCAGGCCCAAAGTGGCTGAAGCATCGACTTCGCCAGCGGACATGCAGCAGTTGCCCATTGGATGCGGCCCAGGGCCTTCTCGATGTCCTTTGAGTGCATCGCCTGCCCTTCCACCATGGTCTGCAAGACCTCCATCACCAGGATGTGTTTGTTGGCGGCCATGAGAACCTGCGGGATGTTCGGGTGGACCACAAAGCCCAGCCACGTGTTGACCTCCGCCAAATGTGTCTTCTTCCAGCTAAGCGGGGTGCCCAAGGCCAGGAGTGTTGCCAACAGCGCCACCGCCAAGTTTACTGCCCCCTCGCTGCGAAGCAGCCACAGGAAGTCATCCACAAAGACGAAGTTCCAATCCACTTGAGGGAAAAGTGCGTAGAGGACCCTGAGTAGAAGGGCTGCCAGGCGTCCCCAGTAGGATTGGGCACTGGCCATGCCGTATGTGCCTACCTTGTTCACCCACCATTCTTTCCCCAGTGAAGCCACCTGGAACCGCCAGTCCTTCCTCAAAACCTTCACTCTCCGGTGGGCCTTGGTGACGTCCGCCTTGAGCAGCACCCACCTGGTGCCCGGCTCCGGCCATAGCCAGCCCTCGGGTGGAGGTTTGACGACCTCCTTCTCGGGGCCAGGGGCACCCTGAGAGGGAGGTCCCTCCGCAGCTGCCGCATGTAGCCAATGAAGAGCTTGTACCCCATCCAGCACCGTCGGAGCCGTCGTCCTTTCCACCGCTGGTTCCTGATGGTGTCATTGGCCCCGCCCACCGAGCCATCGTAGATGGTGCGGATCTTGTCCCCTTCGTCGATGCCCGCTAGGGGGTTTGGGCAAAGGTCCTCAATCTTGCAGCCACAGCGCGCTGCTGCCTCCACCTTGGTGAAGGGGCCCTCTACCATGCCCATGGGGACCTCCTCCAGGAATGTGCCACGGATGAGCTCACTGGCCCGTGGGATGAGGGAGTTCCTGGAACTCCGGCTCCTCCCCTTTTAGCTCCTTCTTGAGTGGCCAGATGCCCGGCGAGGCTAGGGGTGGGTCCGTGACCCAGTGGGACCCCTTGTTCCAGATCCCGAGGAAACTGGTGGTCGGGGTCCTGAATGTTCAGCGCCACTCCAGGAAGAAGGGTTGGCCTTCAGCTGGTCGGCCTGCCCCCGGCGCCAGGATCTCCCTGATATCCTCCAGCAGATCCTCCGGGAAGGGATGTGACCCGTCCCCCAACGAGAGCGACTCCTGGAGCTTGTCCCCCCATGGCGACGTGAGGACACAGATCTTGGCCCCCATCGCTGCTGCTTTGGACAGTGGCCGAGTCCACGGGGCCAGCCGTCCAAGTGAGGGCTTCCCACCCCCGTCCCTAAGGGGGCGCTGTTTGAAGGCCATCTGGAGGTACATAACCTTGTCGGAGAGATTTGGGTCGTGCGTGATCGGCAGGGTGGTGGGCCGATCCGAGATCTCCATGCAATGGCGTGCCCATGGCTCAGGGGAAAGAGTTCCACCCCGAAGTTCGACCGCCCCGCCAGCCGGCTGTGTTGGTGTCCGGACCTCCGGATTGTCTGAGGCCGAGACCGGAAGTGAGCCCAAGGTTAGTCCCGCCAACGCTTGCTGGCCGGCCTTCAGCCTCAGGGACTGGCGCTTGTTGTCCCCCGGCGTGCTGGGAGATGGTTCCCTCTGTCGCCTCGGGGGGGTCGTTGGGTTCGCTTGGGGCACCGTGCCCCCCGGCCTCAGCGCCTCCAGGACGGGTCCCGCTCTGCAAAGGATGGCCGCTGCGAGACCCTGCATCATCTGCTCTGGATACCGGCTGAGGTCACTGGAGTTGAGCTTTTCCCCCCTGGGGTGAGCTCCGTGGTTGCATCGCAGATCATGCCAATGGTGAAGGGGAAGGTCCGTTGACAATGTCGTGGACTTCACTACCACCTGGCCCAGGCGGCACTCGTCAAACTTGATGAGGGAGTGGTGGAGTGCGTTCGCCCATTGAATGTAGGCCCGTGTGACCCACATCGATGATCACCTCCCTCTCTCGGGCTCTTGCTCCACTCCATTGGGTCCATTGGGTGCTCCAGGAAGGACGAGCCCACCTGCGGGACCGTTAGTTGACCTAGTCCCTGGTAGGCCAGCGAGGTCAGGTACATCTGTCGGAGCATGAGCACGCTGTCGTTGTCCGTGTCCTCCATTACCCGAAGCTCCAGGTCCTCTAAGCCCCACAGGGTCGGGCCTCCCGGTTTGGGGAACCATCTGAGAATACTCCACGTCCTGCAGTTGGGGCCGCCCCCCACAAAGGCGACCTTGCCCGCCATGGCCATGGAGCACATCGTAGAGTAAGGCTCGTCTCCCAGCATGTCCTGTCCAAGATCTCCACCCTTTCGCCTGATGTCCACTGCCCAAATGTACTCCGAGAAGGCCGGGTTGTAGGCATGGAGGTAAGCATCCAGTGCCCCCGCATCATCCTTCCCAGCGTACAGCAGGATGAGGGACGGCTTTGACGACTCCGGCACCGGACGTGGCGTCCACCTTAGTCTGAGCCTCAGTCTTTCCGGGGTGTCTTGCATCCAGGGGACGGTGGGGCTTGCCCCCCCTGGGGTTTCCGTGTGTCCTTTGTCTGACCCTCCGGTCATCTGGCCCTGGGCTTGCTGCTTGCCCTGACGGTTCTGCCCGCCCTTGGAACGCCCCTTGCCGGGCGGATCCTCACCTCTGGGTCTCTCTGGGGGTTCTTCCCACTGCCTCGGTGGGTGCGGGGGAAAGGGGTGCTTCCGCCCTTCTGGAGTGCCCTGGCTGGGTCCGCTCCTCTTCTTCGGTGGAGGGGCTTCCGGGGCCGGTGGCACCCTGGATGGCTCTGGTGGGGTTGGCTCTCCCCCGCTGTGTGCACTCTCGCACTGGTGGCCTGCGATCCCTTCGGAGACCAGGCAGCCACGGGGCCTATGGCACCCTGAGTGGCCTCCTGTCACTTGGGAAGGTGTGGGCATGCCTGTGGCACATGCTTCGATGGGGGGGCATCACACACCCACCCATCCTTCCTGACCGGGCAGTTGTGGGATCGGCCGCATGATCCCGAACACTTGTTGTGAAGGTGATGATCTCTGCAGTACGCCACCCCTTTGGGATTCTTGAAGGCCCAGTGGTCTGGCCATGGGGTCGAGGAGGTGTTGGGGGACTTACCTTTGCCGCCCTTACCCTTCGGCTTGGACCGGGTCGGTCCCGAGGGCCAAGATCCTTTTCCCCCCTTCTTGGGCTTCTCCCACTGAGCCTGCCACACCTTGGGTGCCTTGCTCTTGCTCTTCCCCTTCTCCGGCGCCCTGTTGAGGTGCTCATAGACCTCCCGTTGCCAGAAGAGGAAGTCGCCCCTGATGTTCTTGAGGGCTTCGGAGAGAGTGGTGCCCTGGCGCACCATCTCGTGAATCTTGCGCCATGCATTGCGCTCTGCGAACAGCAAGGTGGTGTCGCTCGGGGGAGGTTTCCTGCCGGCTATGTCTTCCCCATAGAACCAGGCATACCAGTCATCCAACTCCTCCTTGGTGACCCTCAGGTTGCCAAACTGCGGCAGTGCTGCCGTGCACATCAGGAGCGTCGTCCTGAAGGTTAGGTGCAATCGCTCCAGCTGGCGCCGAGATGTAGGGTGGCTCCTCACCTCTTCTTCATCCTCCCTGTCCCAGCCGTCCACCGTGATCTTCTTGTGGGTGGATGAGGGGCGTTCCCCTTCTTCCGGGAGCGCGCTCACGATGTGTTTTGCCGGGATGTAGCCCAATTCGCCCTTGGCAATCATGCGCCATTGCTTCTTGAGGTAGCCATCACTACCTTGGAACTCCAACCTCGGCTTCGGGGTCCCATGCGTGGCCACGTAAGCATCTTCCAGCTGGCGCCTGTCACACAGGACCTCCAAGGGAGCCTTTGTCGGGCCCGCCTGGCCCGCCGGGTGGTCACCTTGGTTGCCCCCCCGGACCAAGTTG